CAGCCTGGCGTTTGGAAGATATCGGTCTGGCCACTTTCCAAGGCTAATAAAGGTTTGTTAGTTGTGAAATCTCATGAAAGACTGTTTGCCGGGACTTTGCTGGAGAGGAATTTCCCTTTAACCTAAATAAAAGAGGTTTTATCAGGATGAGGAGTCTGCTTTATGATCTTGGGAGGCCTAGGTCAGAACACAAAGGAGTGCACAAGGCGATGCAGGAGAGAGAGAGAACCTTTTCCTCATACCGGTAGTTCTCAACTTACAACCGTAATCGGCCCCGGAATTATGGTTGTAAGTCATGGTAGTCATTAAACAGGTTACCATGTGACTGCGTCCAATTTTACAACCTTTAGAAAAATGGTCACGAAGCAAAAAAGCATGGTTGTTAAGTGAATAACATGATCATTATTTATTTATATTTCTTTATTAGATTTTTTTACCCGCCTTTGTGACTTTTATAACTCAAGGCGGCAAACATACATAATACTCCTTCCTGTTCCTCTTTTTCCCCGACAATAATAACCCTGTGAGGTGGGTTGGGCTAAGAGGAGCTGGGGCGGGGGGGACTGGCACAAAGACACCTAGTGGGGTTTTCATGCCTAAGGGGAAACTAGAACTCACAGTCTCCTGTTTTCTTAACCGCTACACCAAATGGATTTTTCCTTAAGCGAACTCTGCAATTATTAAACAGTTTTAACTAACGGGCAATTTTTTGTTTGTTTGTTTGTTTGCTGGAAACTGGACGTAGATACCAGTTTCCAGCTATAAATGCCAAAAATCGCAATCACGTGATTGCGGGATGCTGCCAAGGGCCGCATCATGAACGCAATGCGTTTATGTGATCGCACAAGGGGGAGGATTGCCGTTGAAGCTTCAAAAAACAGGTCATAAGAAGCTCTGGGTATGACTGTAGTAACTTCAAAGGTTAGTAAGCGTGTGTGTATCTATGTATCTATGTATCTATCTATCTATCTATCTATCTATCTATCTATCTATCTATCTATCTATCTATCTATCAATCTATGAATTATTCTACTCTACTCAGGGTGGATAAAAATCAATGATGTTTTAAAAAAATCAAAAAAATCATTTTTTTTAATTTAAATCGGATTTTTTTTATTTAAATCGGATTTTTTTTATTTTTATTGAATTTATTTTAATAAAAAACTTTTGGGGTAAAAATCTATCGTAAGATAGTTTTCTATTTAAGATACATAAATAATTTAGTTTATTCAGCATGAAACGGAGCTGAGTTATGTAGCATGAGGCTGTATATTCTGCAACACTGGGACTATCGGTGAGTCAACAGTGGGTCAAAGGAGTAGCAGAGATGACAGTTGCTCTTTAAAAATTATGATTTAAATCGAGTTGATTTAAATCAAGCCTTTTTACTAGTGATTTAAATCATGATTTAAATTGTGATTTAAATCAACTCGATTTAAATCAAATCCACCCTGACTCTACTCTATTCTACTCTACTCTACTCTACTCTACTCTACTCTACTCTACTCTACTCTACTCTACTCTACTCTACTCTACTCTAGAGTAGAATATTCTAATCTTATTGCATTCTTTGACAAAGTGACAAAATTAGTGGACCAGAGGAATGCTGTCAATATAATTTACTTGGACTTCAATAAAGCATTTGATTAAGTAGACCATAACCTACTACTAGATAAAGTAGAAAAATGTGGGTTAGGCAGCATCACCAGCAGATGGATTCATAGCTGGCTGACCAACCGCACTCAACATGTAGTCCTCAATGGAACTGCATCTTCATGGAGAGAAGTATGCAGTGGAGTCAGTAAAATGAGGACCCAGATTGTTGGGGGGCAAATATGCTGACTCTGTAAACCGCTTAGAGAGGGCTGTAAAGCACTGGGAAGCGGTATATACGTCTAAGTGCTATTAGCTAGAGAAGAGAAAAAGCACCGTTTTCAAACTAGAATTGCAAAAGAGGATTTTAAACAAATGTGGGTGCGGACTAAGGAAGTTAGGAAGTATAGAACAGACTATCAGAGGGTCTAGGACTTTTCGCCTCGGTCTCTTCGCCTTACCTGTTTCACCTTAAGGTTTTCGCCTCTGCGTTATTAGCCACAAACTTTTCTCCTCGGCTGACACGCCCACAGTCTTTTGCCCCGGCACATCGGCACATCGAGTCCCTGCACCGATTGGCTGGGTGCGAATTGTCCTGGGAGGCCAAAGGTCCAACACAAACTATACTTCAATGAATGGGCCCCGGCTAAGGGACTGGGACAGAGTGGCCGTGGCCGATGTGCCGGGGCGAAAGACTGCGGGCGTGTCAGCTGAGGACAAAAGTTTGTGGCTAATAACGCAGAGGCGAAAACCTTAAGGTGAAACAGGCCAGGCGAAGAGACCGAGGCGAAAAGTCCCACTCCGCTATCAGAGGCTCAGGATTAAATTGGGAAATCCTTGGGTGTTCTCTGAGCTTGGTCCTTTGTTTGCAGACTTTTAATTACCCAAGTAGATAACATCATCAGAACACCCAGGACGCCACGTGTGAAAACACGAAAACCCAGGATAATAATTAATTCCTAGAGAAAAAAGAGCCAGTTTGGCCTAGTGGTTAAGGCATTACGCTAGAAACCAGGAGCTGTGAGTTCTAATCCTTGCCTGAGGTATGGAAGCCAGCTGGGTGACTTTGGGTCCTTCCTTCTCTCTCAGCCCAATTTACCTCACAGGTTTGTTGTGGAGAAAATAGGAGGATGAAGGAGCATCAGGTATGTTCGCCACCTTAGTGATTTATAACCATAATAATAAAGGCGGGATCAAAATAAATGTATAAAATATTCAGAGCTCAGCTTGGAAAAGCAATAGAAAAACCTTCTTCGTTCACTTACAGATCCAGATCTTCTGGCAGTCTAGAACAGGGATTAAACGTTGCACAAATTTACAATTTTAAGAATGCTGATCCTGCAAGACACTGAGAGCTTCTGCACCGGAGACAAATCCTTTGTGGGTCTAATCACACTTGGCCAAATAAAGTACAGGTAATCCTCGACTTATAACAGTTCATTTAGTAACCATTCAAAGTTACAACAGCACTGAAAAAAAGTGATTTATGACCGTTTTTCACACTTAACAAGCATTGCAGCATCTGCCCAGGGTCATGTGATCAAAATTCAGACGCTTGGCAACTGTCTCATATTTATGACGGTTGCAGTGTCCCAGGGTCATGTGAAAAGCTTTTGCGACCTTCTGACAAAGTCAATGGGGAAGATAGATTCACTTAGCAACCATGTTACTAACTTAATTAGTAACAGTTATTCATTTAACAACTGTGACAGGAAAGGTCGTAAAACAGGGCAAATTTCATTTAACAAATGTATCGCTTAGTGACCTAAATTTTGGGCTCAACTGTGAGTCATATGTCAAGGAGTAACCTGTATTCAAATTCAATTTCAAATTCTCAACCTTTGCAACTTTCAATCTCCAGAATTAAAGTTGAAGTCCACACATCTTAAAGTTGCCAAAGTGGAGCAGCATTTCTCTAAGTGTTTGGTGAAGCTTCCTTCCAGCGCCCCTCCTAAAATCTGGGGATACCCAGCAGCAAAGACCCCCCTAAAAAAGTGGTAAAGAGCCTTAACCCTGACCCTGATTCCTATTTTATATTTCAGTTCCAACCTACTTTCTTTTGCCCAAAGCAATGCACAGGACCCTGGCACAAAGAAGACCAGAGGATAAGAAACAATGGATGGAAACCAATCAAGGAGTGAAGCAACCTGGAATTAAGGAGAAACTTCCTAACAGTGAGAACAATTAACCAGTGGAACAACTTGCCACCAGAATTTGTGGGTGCTCCATCACTGGAGGCTTTTAATCTATCAGAATAGAGCCGGAAAAGGCCTTGGAAGTCTTCTAATCCAACATGTGACCCTATATATATACCATTTTGGACAAGCGGCTGTCCAGTCCTTTCTTTTTTTAAAAAAACACCCAGTTTTTAAAAATCCCAGCACCCACTACTTCTGGAGGCAACTTCTGTTCCCCTGGTTAATTGTTCTCACTTTTAGGAAGTTTCTCCTTAATCCCAGGTTGCTTCTCTCCTTGATTAGTTTAAGAAAAAACATAAAAATGTATATAACAAGAATGTAGAAATGTATAATGTCAAAGATATAATTAACATATATAGATCTCTATAGGAGGGGGAAGGGGGAAAAAAGGATAAGGGGGGGAGAGAAGAAGAGGAATGAAATGAAGACATAGGGAAAAAAAGACAAAGTAACAGAAGGGAGACCACGATGAAACAATGCTTAAAAATGATAAGATATCTAATACAAGTAATGGAGAATTATATAAAAATATAATATAAAGATGTACCATGATTTAAGTGGATGATATAAATGGTATTGTAAGAAGAAATTCTTCCAGGAAAGGAGTGGGTGTTAACTTCCTACAGTATAATATAAATTAATTCAACTTTAGAGTATCTGGTATGAAATGAGGGAAGAAACAGCCCTAGTTAAATACACAATTAATTAGGATAATCAATGTACGGGATATACATGAATAAGGCGAAGACACACAAAAGACTTGTAACCCACCGACACGCTGTTTGTGTTGTTTGTAATTGAAGATGGGTTTTTTATTTGTTTTTATTTTTATATTTGTTTAAAAAATTAAAAAAAAATTAAAAAAAAATGACATGTTGTATGTTATATGTGAATATGTGTTATCATAAAATTACAATTTTATTTTTTTTTAACAAAAAACCAGACACAGCCAGCTACTTGTCTGAAACGGTTATGGGGGGGTTCTACTGCTTGAACAGAGGGTCAGACTAGACGACCTCCGGGGTCCCTTTTCAGCTCTAATTCTGCATTTTAAAAGATGCCCTCCTTTTTGGGTCGCCAACAGCCAGGCTTAAAACTCTAGGGAAATCTGCACCGAGGTCCCCCACCCCAACCCCATGGGACCCTCGCCCCTCTCCCCACCCACCTACCCACCCTTCTCCCCGCTCAACGACCCCCGGACAAACCTACCATACTCGATCCCTCCGGATAGGAAAAGCAGCCCGATGGTGAAGCCGGTCCGTTTCTTCTTCCGTTGGGAATCCATCCATGCGCCTGGCGATCCCGGAGCTCTCCAGGTAACAGAGGCGGAGCGAGGGGGTCCCGGGAGGAGATCCAGCCGGTCCGCCCTCCGACGGGCGCTTGCTTATAGGTCGTCGGACTCAAACCATCCCCGCCCGGCCACCTCTCGCACCTTCTCTCCGCCTAGTTACGCTGCGCACCTGGCTGGTCGGCAACTCCCTCCTTCCTTCCGACCCGGATCGGGACCTGGGAGCCCCTCCACCCCACGCCACCCCCGCGAGAGCCCTTTGGGCCGGCCCGCAGGCCCGGGAGGCGTGAGCGAATGGAAGGTACTAAGTGGGAGGTGGGGGGGGGGAAGGGGGGACGACCTTCACCAGGCTTCCGTTTCGGTTGCTTCCCGAATAGCAAAGAGCGGAAACCAAACCGAAAGGACGCACGAACCCAGGAATTCGGAATGGGTTAATAATTTCAAAATCTATTCCATACAGTGGGTGGTTTACTGTATAAAATAGGTTTGTGTATGTGTGTGTATGTGTATATAAGCATATATGCATGTATATAGATATGTATATACATTATATATGTATAATATATGTATATACTATATACATTAGGCATGTATTTAAATTTATATACACATATAGTATATATCGGCTGGGCAACTGTGGCCCTTTTACAACCTGTGGACTTCAACTCCCAGAATTCCTGAGACAGCCAAAGCTGTCTCAGGAATTCTGGGAGTTGAATTCCACAGGTTGTAAAAGGGCCTCAGTTGCCCACCCCTGGTATATATAGATAAGTATATTTACACATACCTACAGACATATATATGAATATATATGTATACATACATACATACATACACACCGGTAGTGGGTTTCAAAAATTTTTACTACTGGTTCTGTGGGTGTGGCTTGGTGGGCATGGCAGGGAAAGGATACTATAAAATCTCCATTCCCACCTCACTCAGATAAAGAATACTGCAAAATCCCCATTTCCTCCCGATCAGCTGGGACTCAGGAGGCAGAGAATAGATGGCGGCGGGGCCAATCAGAATTTTTACTACCGGTTCTCCAAACTACTCAAAATTTCTGCTACCGGTTCTCCAGAACTGGTCAGAACCTGCTGAAACCTCACTTCTGATACACACACACACACACACACACACATTCATTTAACAACTGTGGCAAGAAAGGTCACAAAATGGGGCAAAACTCACTTAACAAATGTATGGGAGTTTTAACAACATAAATTTGGGGCTCAATTGTGGTCATAAGTTGAATACGTAGAATACGTTTGGGTATATTTGTATATATTTATGTAATATGTGTAATAGATAAAATTTGTTTATAAAATTGGTGTATATAAAAATACATATAAACATATACCGGTACATACACATACATACATATACTGTGTAGATTAAATCTCCACCCAACTCACTTTACAGAATTGTTGTGGGGAAAATAGAAGGATGAAGGTATGTTCACTGCCTTAACTTATTTATAAAAAAATTATAATAAAAAGAAATCATATTTATCAAACTTCGGGGACTGGAGGCTAAAACATATAAAGAACGGTACTTGTGTGTCTGTATGTACACACTATGTAAACACACACCAAAAGGAAGGTATATCTATAGATACAGTATATAGATTTAGTGTTTCTCAATTCAGTAACTTTAAGATATGTGGACTCCAATTCCCAGAATTCTAGGTTAGCATTCTGGGTGGGAAATTCTGGAAATTAAGTCCACATATCTTAAAATTGAGAAACATTGATTTAGATGCTATAGATATACAGTCATTGTCTCTCAGCCCAACTCACCTCACATTGTTGTGGAGAAAACACAAAACTGCATTAAACCCTGATCAAAACTATACATTAAAAACGCAGGATGAAAATACAAATAAAAGGAGCCTTGGTGGCGCAGCAGACTAAGGTGCTGTTAACTAGCACCAACTGCCTGCAATTACTGCAAGTTCGAATCTCACCAGACTCAAGGTTGACTCAGCCTTCCAAGGTAGGTAAAATGAGGACCCGGATTGTGGGGGCAATAAGCTGACTTTGTATAAAAAAGAACACCGCTTAGGGGGGCTGAAAGCCCTACTAAGCAGGTATATACAAAAGTAAGAAGACTATTGCTTAATGCATTGTAAGCCGCCCTGAGTCTCCGGAGAAGGGCAGAGAATAAATTGAGTTAATAAATAAATAAACAAACAAACAAACATAAATATAAATAATACATATACAACATAATAAAAGGGCTATTCAACAACCAAAGAAAAGCATTCAAGATGGGCTCATAAAAATCCTCAGTCAATGCCTGAGGGAAAAAACACTTTGAAAAGGTAGGTTTATTTCATTTATTATGAAATAAATCAGGCCTGACAGGGGTTCGCACTACACATTAAATTATAACCATATAAACTCCACATTGGGAAATCATGATGTGCAAATCTATCTCTCCTGTTTTGTAATTTATAATTGATACCTTCCAGAGGGGTATACATCTTTAGCAATGTGGTTAGTAATACAGAACGGTTAATTAAATTATGCCCACACAGAAGACTCTAGTCCCAATGTAAAAATTCAATAGGGAGAATTATTTGGGTATCACTCCCATATGCATTGCTTTCTTGACAAATTTCTGCCTGTGCAGAAATTCAAGGGAGAAAACCAATGAATAGATGTAGTGTTAAACACACAGAGACTTTCAATTTTAGCCTTTCTCTTAAAAAAAACTTAACTATACTGTCAAAATGGGAGGGAAACGGGTGGGTTCTACTTAACTTTACTACCGGTTCGCAACGAAGCCATGCACGCACGCGAAGTGTCCAATTGTCCATTCTATTCTCATGTTGTCTTCTCCAACACCAACGGTTCAAAAGTATCAATACCCTTCCTACCTTGATTCTTCAAAGTCCAACTTTTCCTTCCCTTGAGTGTCACGGGGATTACCGTGGCTCGCACGATTCTGATCTTTGTAGGTATAGACCAGCGCTCCACAACCTTTTTGGCACCAAGGACGAGTTTCATGGAAGGACCATTTTTTTCATGGACTGGAATGGGAGAGGAGGAGGAGCATGAAACCTAGATCCCACGCATGCAGTTTGGCTCACCCGCCACTCACCTACAGCTTTGCGGCCCAGTTCCTAAGAGGCCACGGACTAGTATCAGCCCATGGCCCAGGAGCAGCAGGGCATTTGAATTTCTTTTTTCAACTATTTCATATTTAGAAAAATATTTAAATATAGCACAACAAAGAATGTTCTTTCTGCGCCAACTCAGAAAGCTCAAACTGTCCAAGGAGCTGCTGATCCAGTTCTACAGAGGAATGATTGAGTCTGTCATCTCCATCTCTGTAACTGTCTGGTTTGGTTCTGCAATCCAACAAGACAGACACAGACTTCAGAGGATAATTAGAACTGCAGAAAAAACAATGGCTACCAACTGCCTTCCATTGAGGCCTGTATACTGCACGAGTCAAAAAAGAGGGCTGGGAAAATATTTACAGACCCCTCACATCCTGGACATAAACTGTTTCAACTCCTACCCTCAAAATGACGCTATAGAGCACTGCACACCAGAACAATTAGACACAAGGACAGTTTTTTCCCAAACGCCATCACTCTGCTAAACAAATAATTCCCTCAACACTGTCAAACTATTTACTAAGTCTGCACTACTATTACTATTAGTCTTCATCATCATTCCTATCACCATCTCCTTCCACTTATGACTCTATGACGGTAACCTTGCTACTGGTATCCTTACGATTTATATTGATATTGTTTCCTGATTGCTTATTTGTAACTTATGACTATCATTAAGTGTTGTACCTTACGATTCTTGATGAACGTATCTTGTCTTTTATGTACACTGAGAGCATATGCACCAAGACAAATTCCTTGTTGTCCAATCACACTTGACCAATAAAGAATTCTATTCTATTCTATATTCTATTCTATTCTATTCTATTCTATTCTATTCTATTCTAAATATTTTTCAAAGCTTAGCTTCCAGCACACCCTTCCCAGTCTGAACCCGGGCATTATGTCTGATCCATACATAGCTTCCACTTAGTTCCTCTTCCTGTCCATTCTTCCACCAGCTTTGTGGAGGTCAGGTCCATTGCCCAACCTGCTGGGTTGTGCATGAAGTTCCTTGGAGAGTGTCTTGTGCCAGTGTGGCACTACAATTCCCATCATTTCCAGTCAAGGCTGCCCAGAAGGAGGAGTCCTTGCAAAAGGCAAAAGCTCATTCATTTAATCCGCATTTAAAATGCAACTGGTAGACTCTTCCCCCAGTACAGGTAGTCCTCAACTTACAACAGTTCATTTAGTGACCATTCAAAGTTACAACGGCACCGAAAAAAGTGACTTATGACTGTTTTTCACACTTATGACCGTTGCTGCATTCATTCCTCCATGGTCATGTGATCGAACTTTGGATGCTTGGCCACTGGCTCGTATTTATGACGGTTGCAAAGTCCAGGTGGGGTCACAGATCCCCTTTTGTGACTTTTTGGCGAGGAAAATCGTTAAAACGAGCCTGATTCACTTAACAACCACATGACTCACTTAACAACTGCACTGATTCGCTTCACCAAAGTGGCAAGAAAGGTGGTAAAATGGGTCAAAATTCACTTAACACCTGTCTCGGTTAGCCACAGAAATTTGGGGGCTCCGTTGTGGTCGTAAGTCGAGGGCTACCTTACAGCGATAATACTAATAGGCTTTTTCAACAGCGATACACATATTCGAGATTTTCATTGGAGCCTTAAAAGAGGGCGGGCTCCGAGCGTCGCGGCAACGTCTGCGCGTGCGCAGCTCAAAGACGTCTTCATTCCTGCGGAGGCGCTGCTCGGTTTTGTTTTGTTTTTTTTTTTTTTGCCCTTTCCTTTCCGCCCCTCCCACGCGGCCTTTCTCCCGGGAACAATATGGCTGGGGCGCCTTCCTTCCATCTGACGTCATCGTCGGGCGCCTGCGCCGGAAGCGGAAGAGCGCGAAATTTCTGGTATTTTTCATGCAACGTGTGGATGCCTTCACGTGCGTTCGCGTGGAGTCGTGTAAACTGCTCTGGCTCCTAGCAGAGGGTTGGTGTGGCCCTCGGCTCTCCCCTTCCTCGCTTAAATCCTGCGCTCGGCCTGCTCCTCCTCCTCGCCATGGCGGGCATCCTCTTCGAAGACATCTTCGACGTAAAGGACATCGACCCCGAGGGCAAGAAATT